CTTACGCGTCTCGACATGGTCCGGAATAGTGACATCCGGAAGAGCCTTGGAATACAGCCTTTGCTTCTCAGATTGAGAAGTCACAGCTGCGATGGTTTGGGCATGTGTTGCGAATGCCTCCAGAAAGGCAGGCTAAGCAACTGTTCCTTACAAACCGACCGGCAAAATGCCCAGGGTACGGCCGAGATTAACCTTGTGCAAACATATGGAAGGAATCTGTTCCAGACTGCAATTGTCTTTTGCCGAAGCTCAGACTCTGGCACAGGATCGCGAACGTATGAAGCATTGTCTGGCGCGTCTGCCTCCGCGACCCGAAAGGAGAAGCGGCAATGGAAGATGAAGATGAAGATGAAGTTCTTCCATTTCAACCTGCATATCCATCTTCTCTGCCGATTTTAAAATCTCTGAAAAATTTTATAAAAGCATTTTTAACTTTGCACCAATACTGCGGTGATGCTAGAGAAGAATATTTTACACTAGATAGCATCTCATTATTTCGTCGTCCTCTTGTTTCTGGCCTAGGCGGGCCGCTGAACGAGCCCACAGCTCCATCTTATTTACGCGCATGCAGTGCATTGGACGCAAGATTGCGTTTCTTAATAGGGTAGAACGGAGAAACACTCAATCCTAAATGTTACGAATCACAGTCAAAAAACGTAAACATAACCCTGATGTTCTGGGCGTAGCCTCCATTAGTAGCCTTTTCGACACCGCCGTCGATGCATGATATTAAAATATATTGCTATCGAATTCAAACGAAGATGCATGGTGTAAAGAAAGAAAAATTCATTTGCTGCTTTATATCTAGCACTACATTTTTCATTATAGCCGTGGCGTGCATAAATAGTTCACCTTCATACTAGAACCAAAGAGCCTCTGCAAAATTGCATTGTCATCTGCCATGCACCAGCGCAGTATCAACAAAAAGTAAGAAATGAAATTTCTTTACGTTGTGAGCTCTCCCAGGTTCATTACGGCATGAACATATTTAAATAAAATAACGATCAGTACCTGCGTTATTATACAACAAACTCAACCTAGAACCCTAGAACAGCACATTTCCTGTGAAAATCACCGTGTTTGACAAGGATTTTGGAGTCATCAGTTGTCATTCATGACCGACTTGTGAAGTGAATCGTATTCAAGTTAGTCTTTGCCGAACGTCGAGACATAGTAACTATAAGCGGAGAACTTAAAGTCAATTAAGTTTAACCACTGGACTAAATTTGAAACCGACGCTAAAATTCTGGAGTTTAACAGCGTGCTTATTTATGTGCGATGTGCTCCTTATCTGAAAATCTTTTCACGCATTCATAGCGTCATGGGCGTTATACGGCTGTCGTCATATTACCGGGAATTGATCACTGAGCAGATTTCCTCTGTTACTTCGCAGCTACCTCACACACGAAGGTTCTTCAACAGTACTCTGGAAACTACGTACTCCTGAAAAATGTGAAACTTTGCCTAAAGAAAGAACCGAACTTATGCTCAAAAGATACAAGTTGAATGGCTTGGAATGATGCTGCAAGTAACTGATGGTTGAACTGAGCTTTTAAAAGTAATTATGTTCTATGCAAATCCTTATTTTTAGCAGTAGGTTAACGACGATAAAAATAACTGCATCCTGAATGTCACTGGCAACGAGTGAATGCTGCAATAGAAAATAGATACCAGTTGTGATGCATCGATGCGGGTCAAATGGAAAGTGACATTCTCTGCTAAAAGTGCCTGGGAACGTGCTTGGCGAATGTCCTTCACAAGATTTTTTTGAATTACCCCATTTGCTTACTTCATATTTGAAAAACTTCAGCTAAAGTTAAACATTTTTCAATAAGTAGACCACTTTCAATCCACAATTCGTAGAAGGTGACCGTAAATAAACAAGATCAATATGAATTTGTGGCTACTGGCTCATTTACTGTGCACGTTGATGCAGGCGCAGAGGAAGAAAAGGAAGGCGTGAGTAGAAGGTGGGAGGTGTGCTTTATTTCCTTATAGAGGATGAAGAGTGGTTCGATTCGTTGCAGCGATAAAAACAACTGTGAAGTTTTAAAACAAAAGTTTTCGTTATTTTTTGTGCTGCATATTATGGGATCAAAAGATATAATATAATAGTTTAAATTTCTACCTACCTCAAATTTACTACGAAAGGTTATGGAAAATATTTTACAGCAACCGTTATATCAAATCGTTGAAATGCAGTGACGAAGAGAAATGCGTGGTTGGAAATTGTTCTGTCGCTTTGTATGTTTGTAGATAGCAACATCATGCAGGCGGTTTTACCTTTAATATATCTGAATGAAATTGAAAACAGAGGCATAGAAAATTTTTGGTTTGATACGCTATAATGAATTCAATGAATTCGTTTGTGTTACATGCACAACTGATCATTACGATCATCTATTTCTACAAGCTTATTATAAGCTGTGCTTCCTTCTAAGAAATGCAGTCGCGCGAAGTCAAACCTCATATTTCTGTTTGTTCAGATATTACATGATTTCTTACCGAAGAAGAAAATGTACATAAAGTTACACGAGTTCATTAATTTTGAATTGTTTTCGCAACAGCTTTGCTCGTAATTTGACAATGCTGTGTTAGAATCTTAAAATGCTATGGTAAATTCGGACACATTTGCACTTTGGAAAAGACGTATGTAAGAACTATGCGTCCGCGTCCCGAAAGGAGAAGCGTCGATGGAAGATGAAGAACTATGCGTGCCCTCAGCCTCGTATCCTAAATCCTCTCGAAGTGAATCAGAGCTGTCTGAGTAGTTCTCTATGAATTATAGAGTGCCCAAGGGAGAGATTTGCTTTCGCTTCTGTTGTTCATCGTTCTTCTTGATTTTATATCACCGATTGGTGCTGAATCTGGCAGAGATTAAGATATCATGGTAGGGGAAGGGGCCGGTGTTCTAGACATTCTACTGACCTCACGTACGCATATGACATTTTACTTGCTTGTAATACGGAAAGCGGGCTCTGTCACCTGGCTCCTTTCGTATGCAACAGCTCCGAAAGTTGACTGGCTGAACGGCATTTCATTCTGTAGTACGTTTTATGACAACCGCTGACAGAGAATGTCATGTTGTCCTTGAGGATGGCATGGAATATAGAAGAATAACAACGAGTAGATTTGCTATTATTAAAGAACATTTTCTTGAGCATTACCGCATTTACCATTGAATAAAGAGTTCATCGATGAATCAGTAAGCAGTTAACTCGTAGTTTGGGTGGTAGCTGAGGGTAAGAGGGCACTAATAATATTTGGACTCCAATGAATTTTTTGCAGACTGCTCAGCATGACTTGGACGCAGTTCACATAGTTTAAAAATTTGATAACGAGTGTGCTCAGTTGTTGGTCATCTGGCGCTTCCAAGGATTGCAGACAGGGAGGCAAACTTTAGGTATGGAGGTTAGCTGCTACAAATAAGTAGTCACGGACAGGGTGTGGCGGGGTCACCGGAGTATTTTCGATTGGAACTCGACACGTTCGATCCTAA